GCTTTCATTTTTCCATTTGCGATTGGATGATAAACCAGCCCTTCTGCTGCATCTGCTGAGAAATGTGGTGAAGCCGCAAGAACAGACGGTGGTGTTTGTTGCCACCAAACATCATGTGGAGCATCTCAAAGAGGTGCAAAAAGCTCTGGAAAATTTGCTTTACTGTGTCTTCACATGTGCTGAGTGCAAACTGGACTGGATGCTTTAGTAGCTCCTCATTCATTCATCATTCACCCCTGGTTTTGATCTGTTTCTCTCTGTGTCTGCAGCTCTTGATGGTCGAGGGCTTTGAGTGCGCCTACATCTACAGCGCTCTGGACCAGACGGCCCGCAAGATCAACATCGGCCACTTCGTCCACCGCAAGGCCATGGTGCTGCTGGTCACAGATGTGGCGGCCCGTGGCATTGACATCCCGCTCCTGGACAACGTCATCAACTTCAACTTCCCATCGAAGGCCAAACTCTTCCTGCACAGAGTCGGTGTGTGACGGAGCAGACTGAAGGTTGTCCAGCGGTCTGAGGTGGAGATTTAACCCTCATCTCTGTCTTTCAGGTCGTGTGGCGCGCGCTGGCAGAAAAGGAACCACCTTCAGTCTGATGTGTACAGATGAAGTGCCTTACCTCTATGACCTTCATCTGTTCTTGGGTCGACCAATTCAGCTCGCCCTCCCCGAACACACACAAGGTACGGCAAACTCTACGCACATACGGAAATTAAAACTGGGTAATAACTGTACTGGTGCATCATGTTTTGTGTAAATATGTGTGTATGATTTTTTAAATATATATATATGTATGCATGTATGATAAGTAAGTGCTTGATTGTTAAGAAAGTCGAATAGGTCACGTTAGACTAAACCACAAGTTTAAGGCTAATGGATGAAGATCCTATGCTGGAGGAATTTTAAAGTACTGTGATGGTTTTTCCTTCTGTTTTCAGTTGGTTCTTATGAAAAGAAAAGAACAGATTTAGTTTTAAAAAAATGTAACAAACTTTAAAAACATATTATTTGTTTATATATAGTTATTTTTTTCATTAGTTTTTTCTATTTTTCACTTGTTCCATGTTATGAATATAGTCAAGGTGTCAGGGTTATTATCATTAACTGAACTAAAGTAAAAAAAAAAAAAAAATGTTACTTGAAATAACACGTTAATTATCCAATACTTTTGAAGTACTAAAATAACTAAATAAACAAAAATTAATTAGTGAAAATTAATTAATACTATATAGACATATTTAAAAAAAATAAAAAGGACAAAGTCACACAATAAAATCACTCGCGCTGTTTGTGAAATTATGTCTCACAGAAAGTTTTCAAATTACAGCAGGTGAGAGGTTTGGCATGACATGCAGTCTCAGTCTCTGTCCGGCACGGGTGAAATAATTATAATGCTGAAGGTGAGATACAATTCATATTTCTTCATTCATCAGCTTGAGATCGGTTTATGAGATCGGCCTTTTTAGAGACCGCTGATCAATCATCCCAAAGCGATTATCGGCCGATTGTGATCGGGAGCCGATCAATCAGAGCACCCCTAGTACTGTGCACATACGCTTGTTTATATATTCACATTTAGCATACAGAACATAACTCCACGTTTAATCCCCGATTTATGAATGTGTAATTGTTTGACCAAACAATTAAAATGTTAATTATACAAGAAAACCTGCTTTGGTCATCTGAACAACTTATTTAGACTTTTTATTTAATGAGTAGATTATGCACACATTTTAATAAAGCCAAATCAGTTTTGTAACAAGTAAATACGTTCATTGACTTAAGACATCGCTCTTGCTCTCGCTCTGGTCGATGTGTGCAAGGCGCGCTCTTCTGGGAGAAATGCCCATATAAGGAGTTCCACCCTCGTCTACGTCATGAAGAGCCGCGATCGAAAAAAACTCTCCAAAACTTGTGCGAACCCGGAAGTAAGATTTTTAGCACAGAAATACTCCGTCATACGTCCAAATTGTTTTTTTGAAATTTTGTCCATGCTTAGCATGAGAATCCAACTCTTTAACAGTGTAAACAACTCTGAATGCATGAAACCACATTGTACCCCCCCTTTAACACAAACTATTATAGTACATCAGTTAAATTAAAGAGAAAACAGAAAATATAAAAAAATATATAATTTAAAATATGAATAAAAAATATAATAGTAAATAACTGTAATCAATGATACTAAAATAACATTGCATGGCATGGTGCTAAATTATAAACAAAAACTGTCAAGAAAAAGTCACAATGCAAGAAGGTTTAATGTGACTAACAGGCTTTATTTATTTAGTTATATAATTGATTAATCGATCTAGCTATCTAGCTATATTAGGCTTGTCAATTGAACTCATTAATTTAATTAATTAGTTAATTAATTAAAATATTATTAAAATACTTGAATGCAGTAACGCACTGGCCCCGCCCCAGACCTGTACGTCATCTTACGTTTCATACAGTTGACTGTTGACAAACATGATGCAAGGCAACAACTCACTGCGTGATGTAGTCCATAAATGCAGTTATGTGCCCCTAAAATTCAAGATATTGGGGCAAAAAATGCCCCTGTATGAGTTTTTGTCTCATATTTATATCATATGATAAGCGATATCACACGAGCAGCAAGAGCAATATCACACGAGTGCTGTTTTTGTTCTGAATAGCATGAGTGCAAATGTGATTCTATACAACAGTTCAGTAAATAAGAAGGTAATATTGTGTTAAAATAATGTGTTTTTCTTATTTAGAGTATTACTTCATTTAAAAAAAAAATATATATATTTCCATATTAAGTTAAAGGTAAATATGTGTATATGTGTGTGTGTTATTCCATTTTGATTTGATTTTGGCTGAAATATGACCTGAATATGTCTTTGTGTGCATGAATAGAAGGTCCAGCTATACTTCGTTTTCCACTTTCTGCTCTGTTTTTGATTGTGCAAGTCTTTATACACTTCATTGATCGTAAGTGAGGATGAACATGTTCAGCAGGCGCGCACTGCCTAGTCCAGTGTTTCCCAACCTTTATTTAGTCCCTTTGGAAATTGTAACAAATTTGTGGCACCCTACAAAATTAATTTTGTCACAATATTTGAATTTCTAACTTCGATATGATAATTTGAAAAGTATAGATATTCGGTACAGCAGGACATTTTAGCCATTTAAAAATATTAAAAAATGATTTTTTACATGGCACCCCTACTCTCGACAGACGGCACCCTGGTTGGGAAACACTGGCCTAGTCGACCTTTGTTTTTTGTGCACTGAATCCACTCAATCCGGGACAGTGGTCCTGTGCCTTTGAAGACATTGACCCTAACAAGCGAAGTAAACGTGAGCTTTAGAAACCGTTGCCTTTTTTAAACGTCCTCTGTTTCTGATGGTCTTCAGATTCTGATGACGTATTCGGCCGAGTTCCTCAGAGCATCCTGGACGATGAAGAGTCTCAGCTGCTGACGGCTCATGAGAACTCGCTGGATCTCCAGAATCTCCGGCGCATCTCAGAGAACGCATACAAGCAGTACCTGAAGTCTCGGCCGAACCCCTCGCCCGAATCCATCAAACGCGTCAAGAATACCGACCTCTCCTCGATAGCTGTTCACCCTCTGCTGGGTGAGTGTGGCTCTCCACTTCCTGTTGTAAGCGTATGGGACGTCCTGCTGAATGTCTGTTCTGAGCTGCTGTGTGTCATTCAGGTTCTGGACTGGAGCCGATGGAACTGGACCGGCTGCTGATGGTGGACACCACCAAGGGCTACAAGGCTAAATCTGTACGTAATTTATTATTCATTTGTTCATCTTATGTCAGTAAACATGAAACATCATGCATCTTTCTTTGAAGGCTCAAAATTATGATTCTGTCATCATTTACTCATCACGTTCAACATCACTTTGATTCTTCAGTGAGGCATGAAGAGCTTTTAAAGGCCTTTTTATGAAAGGGTGAATTAAGACTGCTTAAGACCCACAGAAACCCTGCATGTCTTCTGATGTCTTGAAGATCAATTGAGGTTTGAGAGCTCAGGTGGATGATGCTTACGTTCATTCCCTGTGTAAAGTTAGCATATGGCTTCAGAAGACTTGGCATATGGTGCTCATGGGCGTGTGTTAAGGTTCATTGGTGCTGTCTAAATCATATGTATAATGCAGTTCAGATGGTTATTGGATGATCTGCATATTCTTATTTCCTCAGATTATTTTTGAAATCAACTACAACAACAAAATGAACGCCAGCGAGGTGATGCGTGCAAAGCGCTCACAAGACGATCACTTGGTCGACAAGTTTTCTAAAGTGCGAGCGGAGCGGTATAATTTTTTCTTTGGAAATTATAGAAATTTTATTTAGCGCTGCAATTTTATTTTATTTATAATACTTTTATTTAGCAAGGATGCTTTAAATTGATCAAAAAGATTATAATGTTAAAAAATATTTCTATTTCAGATAAATGATGTTCTTCTGAACTTTCGATCAAAAAGATTATAATGTTACAAAAGATTTATATTTCAGATAAATGCTGTTCTTCTGAACTTTCTATTCATCAAAGAAACCTGAAAAAAATTCTACTCATTTGTTTTCAACATAATAAATGTTTTTGAGCAGCAAATCAGCATATTAGAATGATTTCTGAAGGATCATGTGACTGGAGTAATGAGGCTAATAATTCAGCTTTGAAATCACAAGAATAAATCACATTATAAAATATATTCAAATAGAAAAGTTATTTTAAATAGTAAAAAAAAAAAATCTACGTTACTGTTTTTGCTGTATTTTTCAAATAAATGCAGGCTTGGTGAGCAGAAGAGAATTCTTTAAAAAACATTCAAAAACTTACTGTTCAAAAACTTTTGACTGGTGTATGTCAGACTATAGTTTGATTATAAGGTAAACATTAATTTATTTGTGCTGTTTTTTTTTTCTTTTCTTAAATATTATATAGTTTTATAGGAGGAGGTTTCATAGACTAGGAAAATTCATTTTTCCAAAGTTTTTAGGTGCAGACATCTGTTGTGGGCGTTCTTGGCAGTTTTTATGAGGCTTTTTTTAAAAATAGTGTCCATATCGATAACGGAATTATATCATATTGACCGAAATTAAGAAATATATCGTGATATAAATTTTGGCCATATCGTCCAGCCCTATGCAAAGATATGGTGCCAGTGAATATTGTCAATAAAATCGGCTTCCAAAAAATGATACAGAAACTTGATAAGAGATACAGACTGCCATCGCAAAGTTATTTTTCACAAGTTGCCTTACCTGAATTGTATTCCAAAAAATGTTTGCGTTATGTCTGTTCTAGAAACATTACATTCACACTTATTGATTTTTTTTGCGTTATGTCTGCTCTAGAGACGTTGTGGTAGAGGTGGAAAGTAACTAATTACAAATACTTTCGTTACAGTACTTGAGTACATTTTAAATTTTTTCTACTTTCTTGAGTATAATTAAATTGTGGTACTTTTACTTGAGTAAAATAAAACTAAAGTATTCAACTTCGCTACATTTATTTTTCACCAAAAGTACAAAGTGCAAAAAAAAAAAAAAATAGACAAAGGAGCGCCGATGGAGAAACAGAGCGAGCCGTGTTTGACGGGCACTTTTCAAGCTCCTGGGGTGGAGCCCTGCACTTCAGGCAATAACAGACAGATCTGACTCGGGTGCAAAACCAATCAAAACTTCCAGTTCCGCTGGGGGGCGGGGTGTTCAAACCGCGCTTTGCTTTGACTGTCAATCACCGGCATTGTGTCGTTTTGAATCGGCACCATTAGCGTTTCAGTCGAGCGGCAACCTCCCCCTCTCTCTTGTGAAGCCAACAAGGAAGTGACTTAATTTAATCGGCATATAAAACATTAGCAATGAGATATTTGTTTAATTTTTATTGTGTGTTTGACCGTTAAAACAAAAAATATTTGTTGTCTGTCTCAATAAATTGGGTTAATTTAAAAATACAGTGGTTAAATAAAAAATAAAAATTTCTATTGCTCTTTGTTTTAAAAATAGGTTAAATAAAAAATAAAAATTTCTATTGCTCTTTGTTTTAAAAAAGGTTATAAAAAAAGTCAATAATTCTCGATACCGAACGATATGAAACATTATATCGTTGATACATTTTTTAGCTATATCGCCCAGCCCTAGTTAAAATGTTAAATAAAATGCTATTTTTGTTGTTTATTTTGTCCTACCGAAAATGTGCCTGGAGTCCACCTTTGTTATTATTACAAACTACACTTTCAACGTGATGTTTAACCATTCAAGTCAAGAAGACTCGCGGGCTGTTTTCTCTGCTGCACATACATCCTTGTGTAAGTGTTCTTTAGACTGTTTTCATTCATAGTGTTCCGCTAACAAGGAAATATTTTGCAATAAGAGTTAGAATAAATGTGAATGATATCTTAAGATTTTTCTTATTGGAATCAAAATTAGGAATTGACAAGAATCGGAATCATTAAAATTCAAACAATGCCCAACCTTACACATACCCCACATTATTTTTTACTGGCACCTTTCTATTCACACTGTTTTAAACCCCTTCTTTTCTTTTAAACCCTCACTTACCCGTCTTTGCTTTTGCCCTTCTTAAAAACAACCACATAATCTTATACGCGAATGTACTTTTCAAAATTAGTTATAAAACAGCTCCTGGCAACAGGGATAGGTAGCATGTTTGCTTAACATAGCGTCAAACATGACAATTTATTAGACTAATATCATGTTTTGCTCTAAAATCACTATATAACATCAGTCATGTTTGAAACAGTTAGCTTCTGTGGTTCCATGTTGCTTCTTATCACAGTGAGACAGAAAATAACATTTTTCCATAAGGGATTTCCTGGTTCTCACTCCTGGGAAACAGACATTACAGTACATGAGTGTTAGGGTTAGGGTTAACCCTGCTCCATAATGCTCACATCGTCTCATTTTGGGTAAAAAGGGAAAAATAATACTAAAGTACTTTGTAACGCAGTAACTTGAGTAGTTCTACGCCAGAGCGCGTACACTCCTCACGCACCGGATGCCATGCGCGCCCAAAGACAGTTGGACATAGTGGTGTATTAGAGGTAAAAAAAATGATATAAATACTGTTCGGTTTCTGGCACAAACCGATCGTTTCGTGTCTTAGGACATCAATGTGTCGTCACGAGCCGCAGGGTTTAATTTGGATTTGTCTGTGCATGTTTTTTTTACTCTCATAGATTTTGTTACCATTGCCATGCATTATACGACTGATAGACTGCAACGGTTAAAGTTAAAAATCATCATATGTGTTCTACTGAAGAAACAAAGTCACCTACATCTTGGATGCCCTGGGGGTAAGCAGATAAACATCAAATTTTCATTTTTGGGTGAACTATCCCTTTAAGTAGCAATACTTTTACTTAAGTAAAATTTCTTAGTACTCTTTCCACCACTACGTTGTGGTCCTATTTACGGTTTGTTTTTTTTGTTTTTTTGGTGTTATGTCTGTTCTAGAGACGTTACATTCATACTGATTTTTTTGCGTTATGTCTGTTCTAGAGCTGTTGCTCATATTTACTGATTTCTTGTGTTATGTTTGTTTTAGAGACGTTACGTTCATATTTATTGATTTTTTTTTGTTATGTCTGTTCTCGAGACGTTGTGTTCATACTAATAGATTTTTTGTGTTACGTCTGTTCTAGAGACGTTGTTCATAATTACTGATTTCTTATGTCTGTTTTAGAGATGTTACGTTTATATTTATTGATTTTTTTTGTTATGTCTGTTCTCGAGATGTTGCGTTCTTATATTTACAGATTTTTTTTGCATTATGTCTGTTCTAGATCTGTTCTATGTCTGTTTTTTGATAAAGCTGTAATTGGTTTCCTTTTGAAATAAGTTTTGAATTCAAAGTCATAAACACTGAAATGCATTTATGAATGTAAAGTGTGTGTGTGTGTGAGTGTGTGTGTGTGTGTGTAATGAAATAGTCAAAATCGGGATAAAAAAAACTCTCAATTGTTTTGATCAATATTGCGATTTAGATTTTGTGTCCATATGCTCTCCAGACTGTGTTCTCAGAGGTGGTTGGAGGGAAAAGACAAAAGCAATATAATGAAGCAGACAGACTGAAGAACAGAAAATCAGGAAAAGATGAGGAGTTTTACATCCCATACAGACCCAAAGACTTCAACTCAGAGCGCGGGTACGACAGCACCAGTGCATGATTCTTCATGTTGAGCTGGGAAGCATGGATGTGTGAATGTGTGTGTTTGGGTTTGTTCAGGCTCAGTCTCGGCGGTGACGACGGATCTTTTGAGCAGCAGGCCTCTTCTGCGGTTCTGGACCTGATGGGAGACGAGAGCAACACTTTAAACCAGCACAAGAACCTGATGAAATGGTGAGCAGCACCTTCCCGTTATTACATATGCAGTACTGTCCATACGTCTGCTTATGGTCATATTACACGTGTTCACTGCAGGGATAGCAAGAGGAAACGCTTCGTCCGTGACATGGGCAAAGAGGATAAAAACAAGAAAATCAAAACAGAAAGTGGACAGGTGATCAGTGGCAAAAAGAAGAAGAAGAGCTTGTATCCTTTATTTATATAGCACTTTTCATAACATTGTTTCAAAAATCAGCTTTACAAAAACTCATGATGTTAATTTACAAATATTGCTGAATGAATGCTGTCTTTATGAATGGCCCCGTACTGCATCTTTAAAGTCAGTGTGATCGTGAGCAGCTATCTATGGTGAATGGATTGGAGGGTGAAAAGTGTCTCTTTGGCCGCGTTTACACTTGGCATTAACATGCGACCTGTATCCGGATGTTGTCCTCATACACATTGAAAAGACCTGTAAACGTGCTTCTGATCGGAATGTTATCCGATCAGCGTGTCCTGGTCCAGAGGTAGTCGAGGACGCATTGTGATCGGATCTCAGTGTAATGTAAACGCAGTCCAGCCATCGTGTCTGCATTCGCAGGTCGACGTCAAGCAAAACCCCGCACCCCTCTTTCTCGAACTTTCAGAAGACTTATTTAAATATTGTGCGGGAAAAAGAGATCCGATCGGTTACCCAGAAGTCTCTTGATGTTGCCAAGTGTAAACGTGCCGTGTCCTGATTGACTGATGATCCGATCTGCTTGATCGGATTATGGTGATCGCATGTTAATGACAAGTGTAAACGCAACCTATATGACAGGTTATTAAAAATAAGAATGATTGGTGATCTCAGTGGAAAGTTGTTTCAATGGTGAAACAAGTTTTTGCATTTTTGAAAGATTATGGAATAAGAATAAATGTAGAACGGGACTTGATTCTATGCATGAGTTGTTGATTGGATGTTGAGATGTGGGCGTGACATTTAAAAGAGTTTACAGGGTCTGAGTTTAAGGTAAAAAATGCCTAAAACATTTAAATGCATGATGGATGAATTGTACACAAGATCTATATCATGCTTTTAGAAAATAGATAAGGCCAATTTTTCATTTCGTAATTTTAAATGAATAATGAATACTGGAGTAATTTCTTTTTTCAATTGTTCGTTTTTTTTGTGTTTTTTTATTTCTCTCCGAACTGGCCCTGTTTGTGTGTGTCCGTAAGCCTATGTACTGAGATGAGGAAATGCCTCCCCGATTGTAATGTGAATTTGAAAAAAAAAAGCAATACGTGCCGAACATCTTTCCTTTTAATGACTTGTAATGAGAAGCATTTCTAAACTTGTCGTCCAACAAAAGAGAACATAACATGTTTTTACTCTGCAACATCAGTCGAGTGTTTGAAATAACTTAATTTCCTGACTTGATTTGGCTTCTTATCACAGAATGAGGCAGAAAATATATGTCGATTAGCAATGGATTATACATATACATAATTATTATGAAAATACCCAAGATGGCTTGAAGAACACATAAACTAGCCTATATATTGTCACAATCGAGTGTTTTTTGTCTTCATGTTTCATCATTCAAAGCATTTCTATATACTTTTTATTCAGTTACACCGATAGCTGGATGCCTTTGTCCATATTAGGGTTGCATATGTGGATTTTCTAGCTCTCTGTTGTCCAGTATGAATGAAACAGACATTAGATGTGTTCATAGCGTTAAATAATGGCCAATCTATGTGAAAATGCATGTTTTTCTACAGTGTACAGAAGTGTACTGGAGTTTTTATTTTTTAAATGGCATTTTAAATCACAAATCACAAAAAAATAATCTGATGTGCCAAGCCATCAGAACCGAACCGAACCGAACCAAAGACAGTGGTTAAAGGTGTGTGTGACAGTGCAGACCTGCTAACCTTTGGAAAATATTTAACCAAGGTTGGCAGCTCTGAAAATGTAAATTCACCTTCTGACACTAGTTGGTGTTTATCCTAAAAAAGCTTGTATTTTTATGTAACCGCAGCAGCTCTGAGGATCTGAACAAAGCCCAAATCCTATTGGTTGGCCAGTTTTCTGTCGCATTGACTGCTTGCCAATGTTTGTGACAGACACGTTAACGGCCATTCATTCATGAAAGTTTATCGCACCAAACTTTCATTCGATGAGAACGGGCCTTGAAAACAGGAACATGAATAGACTCAGTGTTGATGTCATGTGGACCAGTAAAGGTGAAGCTGATAATCGCTTGTCAGTTGAGTTTCTTGGCTTTGGTCCAGTTATGAAGAATGGAAGAAGAAGTATAAGATCGATGACAGAGCGTCAGACTCAGATGGAGAAACTGGAGGAGCAATCAGAGGGAGGAGCTTTGGCGGTAAGAATAGAAGAATGTGGTGTAAACTCATTCAGCCCTGCTGTAGGTCTCGATTTCCACTTCATGTGTAAAATCATTTCATTACATGTCACCGCTTCTCTCTTTTTGAGTATTTGTGTGTTTGTGTTGTGGTTTCCTCAGGTCATAGAGGCAGAGGACGAGGAGGAGCTCAGTCGCAGCCGGCCCAGCAGCAGAGCGGCTCACGTGTGCTATCCGAGCTGAAAAACCGCGAGCAGATTCTCAAGCAGCGCAAACAGAAAGCCAAACAGCAGTTTCTGCAGAGTGGCGGCATGAAGAAGCTCCATGCCAAAGGAAGACGGCGCCTGCAGGAAGTGATGAAATCTGGCTTTGGTCGTGGCAGCAACAAGAAAGGAAAGATGAGGAAGAAACTTTAAGAGCCAAATGAGGAGTCATTACAAACTATCCCACCTCCCCAACACAGGCTTTCGACTTGTGGTGCGGAAAACAGGATGGACCACATTTTATGTATATGTACATATTATATACAAGATGTGTGCTTGCATGTGTCTAGAATATGGATAGAATGAGTGAAGAGACTTTAACTCTTTTACTGAAACATTGACATATTTCTGACATTCTCTTTAGTTGATTTAAAGGGATATTTCGGGTTCACCTGAAACTCTATTGACAGCAGTTGTGGAACTTGTGGCTGAATGCCCATTACCACAGAAAATAATTTTGCCATTTAAAAAAACAATTTATTTAATAACTGCAAAAACCATGACAGTTACAGTAGGACACTTACAATGCATGTAAATGGGCCAGGCAATGCTTGGTGTCAGCCACATAACTTTTCATACCTGTTCACATTAGACTGTTGTGATAAAAATTACCTTACCTTATTACCTTGTCTGTTTAAAGTTGTATCCAGTTTTTCAATTTCACTTACTTTCACGTCATACGTCATGCATGAAGGGTTTCACAAAACCTCTTAACGTAAGAAAGCCTAATTAATTAGTTTATAATTGTGCCTAAGGGTTTTGTGGACCTGGGCCTGGGGACACGAACAAACTCATCTCATAGGATTTATCTTGGAAAAGTAGTTAAAATGAATTTATGTTCTAGTCGACTGTAAGTGCCCTTCGCTGTAGATTTTTATATTTTTTTACAGAGATTTATTTACACATTAAATTTGATGTTAAAGAATTGTGTTATAATAACCTCTACAAATACTCATTATATACATACTATAAACACTTTAAAGGAAACAGACATGTAGATGTTTGTGTGAGATGTTTTCTCTGTTTTGGAGGGATGATTATTTTTAAATCGTACCATATTTATTGCATCAAAATTAGTTAAAGGGGTCATATGATGCTGCTAAAAATAACATTATTTTGTATTTGGTGTAATGAATGTGTTTATGCAGTTTAAGGTTAAAAAAACACATTATTTTCCACATACTGTACATTATTGTTTCTCCTCTATGCCCCGCCTTTCTGAAATTTTTTACAAAGCTCATCGGTCTGAAAAGGCGAGGTGTGCTGTGATTGGCCAGCTATCCAGTGCGTTATGATTTCATATGACCCCTTTAATACTTTATTTAAGGGTGGATAATTTTATCAGTTGTTTATTGCAACAATACATAACTACAATAACTTTGTCTAGTGCTCTTATGAAAGTTTATAGCATGATTTGTAAAAAATTTAACTATACTGAAAGACAGCATAGACTTCTTAGGCCCAATCCCAATTCTACCCCTTAGCCGTTCCACTTTCCCCTACCCCTCCGTTTGGCGCGTTCACGTGAAGGGGTAGGGGTGTCTCGATTCTCTTTTGGTTGGAGGGGTAGGGGAAGGGCCAGATAGCCCTTCAAACGAAGATTTTTCGGGACCACACTTCAAACGAAGGGGTATGAATTAACTCGTCTAATTGATGACTAGTCTATTCTTGGGCTATGATTAGACGTCTATTAGATTTTCACTGACAGCCCAAATTTAGCCTCGTTTTAGCCTAGACGTCTAGGCTATATTTAGACGTCTAATAGACGTCTTTTAAACGCAAAATTGCTTGCTGGGATATCATGATAATTTTTGCGTTTCCCTTACCGAATGTCCTATCCTGTCAGCAAAAATCAGATTTTGCTTCCAGCATGATATTAATAAGGTGTGAGGCTTTATTAACATGTACACCTACCCCAACCCTAAACTTACCCTTACAGTAGGATAAATACAGTGTTGGTAGCATAATCTGATAGGTAGCATTATTTGTCAGAACACTGGTGATGCAGTGTTGCCAGATATTGATACTAAAACAAACAAAATACTAAAAATAAACCGAAATTATTTCCAATCTTTTGCAAATAAGATACAGATATCTGACTCTAAACTGCAACTTCCTACTTTATTAACTTTCTAAAGTGTTAAATTAAGTGGAAAAGACAAGCCCAAAAACGCTTATAATAGCTGGATCTGCAGCCGCGCCCTCACTCGCCACATCTTGAGCGATGGGGGAGGGCCGGAGAACAGCGCTCATGGAGCGCACTGGAAAGGGACCTGCAGCAGGGGGGCTCGTCACCTGACCCTGACAGATCCGCATCAGAAGCTCGCGGCACTTTCCTCCTTGGCTCGAAAGAGGCTGCAGAGGAAGAGCACGGCAGGCCTAGTTGGGCGAGTTCATCGCCTTGGACGATGGCCACATGGAGCTTAAAATGTTACGTGTTACTTCCCTAATATGTCTACTACTTAAGCAAACGTTGATCACACTAGAAACAATACAAAGCTGCTATAAGAAACAGAAAAGATTAATTCATTGACATTGTTTACCTGGATCTTCAGTCTACTCTATGATTGGCTCACCTCACCTCTTATCTGACAAGTCTTCGGGTTTGGGCTTATCCATCTTTCAGTATCAAACGATGTGCAAATCCAGTGTCGAACCAGGCCTTGTTTACAAAACGTTTGTCAACAAACACACTTGTGAAACTCCTTTGCTGCCCCGGAAAAACAAACTGTATTCACTGTTTACATAACGCTGGGTTCTTTAGGAAGCTGAACAAAGTTATCTTTCCCTTACAACTAAAAACACACACTCTTTGTATTGGAGACATTCTTCCCGAGCAAGTCCCGTGCAGCGCTGCCGCCGGATGAAGCGCGTTGATGGGCGCGATCTGGCTCTCACTCTGGTCTATGTGTGTGCGGGCGCGCTCTTCCGGGAGAAATGCCCATATAAGGAGTTCCACCCTCATTTACGTCATGAAGAGCCACGATCGAAAAAAAACTCTCCGAAACTTGTACGAACCCCGAAGTAAGATTTTTGGCACAGAAATACTCCGTCATACGTCCAAATCGTTTTTTGAAACTTTGTCCATGCTTAGCTTGAGAATCCAACTCTTTAACAGTGTAAACAACTCTGAATGCATGAAACATGACAGGTGACGGCGGACAGAGTGACGTACTCCAGCATGCTGATCTATGACCGACGGCCGGAGCTGCCTTTCATTTCCCAATCGGTCCAGTGCGTCTATGACTCGTAGGTGATGAGACAGTGGCGCACGGGACACCACCGGGACCCCACCGTTAGACTTCTTTTGACTCGAGAGTCGAGACACTATTTCGGGAGCGATAGACGCGAGATGCGTGCGCAAAGGTAGCGCAGTGGAGTACGTGGAAAACTCTTCACCTGGCTTAATGTTCTAAAACGGCAACCAGAGATAATCAATTTTCTCACACATTTAATTTGTCATAAACACTGTAGCTGTCTGGTAGTACTTTCGTTTAGTGTTTTTCTCTGTAAACATTTACAATGTCGGTAAGTGTATGATGCCTAATGTTTTCAAATTTGTTCACATTTTATTTTTCAATTCATGGATCATTTCATTAAAAAAATCCTAATGATTCTAGCAAATATAAAAGTTAATTGGTAAAAATAAAAATGGATCATTCATTTATGGTGGGGCCAATGATGATGTTGGCAGGGCAAGTAAAAATAAAAACTATTGGGATGGCAGAAAAAAATAATTTTAGTTGATGTTTGATATTGAACAGATTTGTCCCTAGTCTAATTTTCATTATCAAAAAAAGTTAACCGAGGCATGTTAGTAACCCTGACTAACATGTCAAGTGTCTTAACTTGAAAAGTCAGCAAGTTTCATGAGTTTCAAGTAGATTTTGCAGTTTAATTTCAAGAAACTATCATCTTTTTTTGAGAGGATGTTTTGAGTTTTAAATTTACAGTGCATTTCCAATAAACTGTTGTATTTCAAAAGTATGAGGAAAATTTGATTGATATATTATATGATATGAACCTTTGAATGTATTTATCTTGACTGTGGTTGAATCCTGGAGGAATGTTTTCCCTTCAAGAGCTCCAGCATGTGAACTATTAAAACCCATCTGATAGCAGCTGATCCCAGAGAGAGCAGCACTTTCAGCTTTCCAATCAGATGGCCAGTGCCGTTCTGAAGTGAAGAGGACCGAGCATCTTATCAGCTTTCCCAGGCCAGACACAGCATCCTCTTGAGAAGACCGCAGTTCTGAAGCACTGAGCTCCTTATCAAGAATGGCCTTGTGTAGTGTAGCCATTATTAGACTGTCAGTCACCGTCTGGGGTCATGGACATTTCTGTTTGAGAAACTGCTCTGTGGCACGTGATCATTGTTGATGACAGCTGATGCACTCAGCAGAAATGCACTCGGGGAAAAAAACTTTTTCCAAGGTTAGAAGGTCTGCTCATATCTGAGTGTGCCATGTGGTTAATTAACTCTTGAAATGTGTTGCAATATGTCTGATGGCTTTTTAAATTTGTGAGCACTTACAGTGAGCAGGCTGTCATGCATAAGAACCAAATATCCCAAACATAGGGCTGGACAATAATTCAATATCAATATATATGACGATATATGTATTTTTTCAGTAACGGTGATATGATTTTTAAACACATTTCCGATATTTCAATATACATTAGCAGTGTTTCCCATTCATTGATTTATTTGTGGCGGCCCACCACAATATCAACACTGACCGCCACAAAAAGATTTTCCAAAAGGCTTTGACAGTTTGACTTTGTTGAATAAACGTTAGCACTGCACGTTTCAAAATCATATTTTTTATATGAATGTGTCTCTGAAGGTAACCGACTGTCTTCAGAAAATTTTCGATGGCATTTTCGTTTTATCTGATAAAGCTGCGTTTATGAGTGGAGCGCTGCTTTGTTTACAGCCGTTAAGCAGCAATGTTATAGTAAGTTAAATAATATTGATATGGTGAGTCTGAGTCTTGTTTTTTTTTTATGGTGATTTCACATTTCTTGTTTGTATGAAGGCTAAATACATAGGTGAACATTAATTTATTTGTACTATTCTTATTTCTAAAATATTATATAGTTTTATAGGTTTCATAGACTTGCCAAATTCATCTTTCAGAAGTTTGGTTCACTCTAAAAATGGCTGGGTTAAAAATAACCCAATTGGCAACCCAGTGCTGGGTAAATATTGGACAGAACACATGCTGGGTTACACATTTTAACCCAGCAGGCTGGGTTGTTGAGAAAACCCAAGATATAGTCATTTTTACCATTTTTGTGTTTCTGGGTTATTCTTGCTGGGTTATTCTCATAATTTCGCCTAGGCCTACAAAACAATCATGGATTAATAAATAATGAAGAATACAGGTTATTTAGATGGTTAAAAATTATTTTTAATGCCATCTGACATTCACAAATGTGTTAAAATTTGTACCAATGACAAACGACATGCAAATTTCTTTCTTTTTTCTTTTTTCCAGCAAATGCAAAAATCACAGAAATACAGTTGTAATAAATAAGAAAATTAGTTCTGAATTACATGCGTCTAACTGTTTAACTATTACATTTTGACATGTTTAACTATTTAAATACACAGTGAAATGACATTGACAATTAAAACT